GGGGGGGCTTAGGCCATCTGAGCTACCAGGAAAGGACACTCTCCACTTGATGTGCTGCCTGCAGGCTGTGTGGTGTGCTCCAGATCCCCAGTTTTTTTTTTGTTTGTTTTTTTTTTGAGTTGTCACTCATGCTGCGGCAGGTTTTAGCAATGTGGCTCTGTCTACATCATTTCTGTTCCTATAAGTAATCCCTCACCCATATTCTTGTAGGTAAGCTCAGCAGAATGCGCTGGTTCACCAAGTAGACTTACATGTTGCACCTCCTTGGGGAATGTCTTATGACCCAACAAGCATGTAGGGAATCTTATAGCATTTGCCTTAAGATGTCATAAGCTTGGTGCTGTCACATATCATTATTTTCAACGCACCATACTCCCCACCCTGCTTGGAAGGTCCGGTTCAAATATTTCTCATTCACAAAACCTTCATATCTGTCCTAGCTCACAGGATGGCTTTCAGCTAAGAAAAGATGGCTTTCAGCTAAGAAAATATTGAAGCTTGTTTGTAATATACAACGCTGACCTTCTTGGGGACTAACGAGATGGTTTAGTGGGTAAATTGCTTGTTTGGCAATTATGAAGACCCAAGTTCAGATCCTCAGCGCTGGGATAAAAGCCGAGTGCAGTGGTGTGCATCGGTAGCCACGGCACTTGGAGAAGCATCAGAGATAGAACTGTTGGAGCTTACTAGACTACCAGCCTACCCAAATCAGTGGGTTCTCAGTTCAGTGAAAGACCTTGTCTCAAAAACCATGATGGAGGGTGGCGGAGGAAGACATTGGACCTCGTGTATACACAGCACACAAAACAAACAAACAAAAGCAAAAACCGGGCAGGGCAAGTTCCAATCCTTGCTTGAAAATCGGCTTAAAGTCTCTCAGAGATTTACAGACATTACAGACAAGGCCAACTTAAATTATTTTATGTTCCTTTTCTACAGAATTTTCATTTCTATTGTGATTATTTATCTAAGCAAACAACCTTTCACTCAATCAGTTTCCCATATGGAGACTACGAGACCTCTAGTTTGAGCAAGACTTACCCAATAGGGCCTGCCACATTTGTATTCGGTCCCAGTGCATGCATTCCTTAAAATACACTGTAGCGACATGATCTTTCCCAGCTGGCTCAGTCTGGTTAGAGGAAATGACTTCACTTACTCTTTCCTTGGCCCTCAAGACCCACCACCCTGCCTCTCTCTTCAGCCACATCTATGCTGGGAAGGCAAGCATGCACTACACACAGTTCCCTTCCCGGTGGCTCAGGTTTGATTTGGCCAACAGCAAGTGCTCATAGATAGCAAGGTGGTTGGAAAGTCAGGTCGGGGGGGATCTACTCCTGTGACGACGTCCCTTGACAGATGCCACTGTGTCCAGTAGTGCCTATCAGACCTAACATGTCTTAGATGCCAGTAACCATTATCCCCTCTAGGCCTGAGTTATGATGGAAATTATTCTTCTCTGCTACTAACTCTAGATCTGGTAACTCTGCCGAGAGCTTCCTGGGCCCTAGCGAATCGCACCTTGTTAACTTCCTGAAATAACACCAGCTGCTTATGTCATCTGGTTCCTGCCAGAACTCCAACTGAATCTTGAATTCAGACTCTGAACATCAGGAGAAGACCCGCTCTGGATGTCGCTGCTCTTTGCTGTGGCCGAGGGACCACAGGAAAGCTGTAGTGGGTGGGTCTCATTACCAGCAAAGGGAACACCCCATTACAAACCCTCAAGCAACAACTGGCTAATGCCACACATCAATCGGTAAGAAAATGAAAGGGCCACTGAGTTCTGTATAGAAAGATAAGTGTAGCCAAATATTTTGTAACCTGTATCAGATATTACAACCTCAACAAAATCTAGTGATTCCTAATCCTACGACCGCCGAGCATATCTTGAAAAAGCAGAGAGTGGTGAACAACATCAGACAGAAGACAGACGTTAGAAAAATGAACACGGACTACTATTACTGGAGTGGTGAAGCTCAGAAAGCCCACACACATTCAGAGAGGCTCCCTCCCATTGCATTATACAAATACAGATATGTATATGTGCATGTCTGCAGGGATGTAACCCATCCATGGGCAAGAGACCTCTATTAACTGAACTGTGGTCTGTCCTAAGACATTCTATTTCAGAAAAAGAACATTGGATTTTCACTTGACATTGGATTGCTCTCTGAAGAACCTTCTCCCAAAGTGTCTGTTAATGTTTCGATCTTAAATGTCCACCAAAGGCTCATGAGATGAAGTTCCCCCAATATAATCGTGTTCTGTGGTTGGACTTTGAGGAAGTTACTGGTCACAACAGTCTGCCCTCAGCATGGATTAGTTCACTGATGAACTCACACCTTGATGGACAGTTAGGAGGTTTTGAAGTTGAAGGAGAGGGACCTACTTGGAGAGAGAGCATCCTTGAGAGCTTACTTTGTGGGCCATTTCTTGTTTTGTTCTTTATTGTTGCTTTGTTTTGTTTTGTTTTATGTTTGTCTGTTTGTTTGGCTATTATGAGGTAGGCAATTGGGCTGGAGCCTCTGAAATCACCAAACAAAACTAACCCTTTCTCCTTAGGTATGTGCCACCACTAGAAGCTGAGAAACATGCTTTCTCACTCTTCTGGTAGCCTTTCACCTTCCACACGCCAAGCCTTTTTCCCCCCAGGACAGTGTTCTCAGGTGACTCATTTGCCCAAATGAAGGGAAATGCTTCACTTCATCTTCCCTGTGTACTTGAACTTACCTTTCTTAATCACGTCTTTTTCTTCCTTCTCTTTCTCCTCTTCCTCCTCCTCTATTTACTGCTTCTCTCACTCAAGAACATCTAATAAAAAAAAAAGTTTATCTTAAGATACACATTGAGATCTCATCCATATTTATATCAATTTCCAGACCATGAAATTCCTTATTGGCAGACAGAGTTCTCTTTGCTTATGCCTAAAACTTATAACAAAGCACACCTTGAAGGTACACTTAAAACAGTGGCATGCAACAGAAACCAAAAGAGGGAATCTTCTTATTCCTTTCATGTGAATGGAGTGTGAATGGACACATTTTCCTCACTCAAAGTACCTAAAGGATAGCACTGGCTGTGGGATTTAGCATAGGAGGCATTCAGAAGGAAGGAAGATTGGGGTCATAACAGTGACACCCAGTATTTAATGTGGTGTGCTAGATGTGGAGCCCATGAAATCCATGCTGGGCTCAAAGCCACCAGTGGAAAACACTTATGTGTGCAGTCACAGTTCCTGGCAAGTGTCTTTCATAATGGGTACAGTCTCTCTGGCACAGAACACAGACCCTATGCTTCCAAGCTAACCTCCACCCTCCTCTGAAGTCACAGGGCTGCCCCAGTATAGGACCAACAGACAAGGAATATAATTAATAGTGCCCTTTCAATCACCTTGCAACGCTCATTCCCTTGACTCTAAAGTAGAGTAGTTTCCATTTACTCTTTAGCATTTGGGCTTGGGCATCAAGAGATTATCTCAACCCAAGGGCCTTAAAGCTTCAAATTAGCACCTTCACTATACAATATGATTCATGCCCAGAGAACTTTCCCATCTGAGACTAATTAACTCACCACACATGGCTGCGAGGTAAGCATGATGTGGTCATCGCTGAGGTGTGAGGAGGAATTGGAGCTGGGGAGGTCACAGCTTGTGCTAAAGTTATTAAGGGTACTGGCAGGGGAATTATGTCATCAAACAGGAATCTGGCTCAGCTCCTCCGCCCACTCTAGAACCTAGACCTACTTACCACATTTTGCCCATTAATTCCTTATTGATCTTTGTTGAAGTGCAGGCAGAGAGTCCAGCACATAGGAGGATTTCAATGAAAGAGCATGCTCAACTCCTCCGGCGCCATTTCTATGCTACCTCAGCATCAGAAGTCACTATCCCGGATCTACTCCAGGACGATGTCTAACTGGATGCTGGATTTGGGAAACAAGCCTAAGAATGACACATCTTCCCCCAGCTTCCCAGGAAGCACACGGTAAGGCTCTCTCTTAGAGCCACGGGTGCACAGGCAGCCTTGGGCGCAGGGTCAGCAGGTGCTGAGATGGCAAACCGCTCAAAGCAGCAACACGGTGGCAGAGCTTTCTCGGCACACTTGACTGGGGCCTTGCTCTGCAGCACACCCTGTCTCTCATTCCCCCACAGAGCGGCATACAGCAAATATGTCAACTCGCTCTACTGTCAGCCTTTCTGATTCTGCTGGAGAACCAGGGTAGATTAGTGTCCAGGGAGAAGCGAGCGTCAACCTCCCAGGTCACGTCTTTTTTCTCTCGTTGATTCCTCATCATCCTCTACCTGCCCCAAGCTCTGAGCCTTTTTGTTGTCACTGTTTACTTGCCTGTTGCTGCACAGTGGAGAAACTTTTCCCACTCGTGATTCTCTTTTGCCTGAGAATTTTTTTACATGTCCTACGTGGACACGTAAAAATAGGCATACAGAATTACAGAATAACACTGATTCACAACAAGTCAAAACAAATTTTATTTTAGAGCAACTCTTAGGCAAACATGGTATTTTACTATTTAAGATGGGAGTACTCTGTATACTAATGAGATGGATAAACTTGTTTAATTTTACACGAAGAATTAAATTTTGGGCTGGTGAGTTAGTCTAGTGGCTAAAGGTGCCTGCTGCCAAGACTGACAGCATGTCTAGGACATACATGGTGGGGAAAGGGCTGTTTCTTGACCTTTATGTATGTGTCATGCTGTGTGAGTGCCTCCTCACACAAAATAAATATTGAGATAAGTTTTTAAAGGATTAAATTATGGTAGAATATTTTATTCTGCAGGATACAGAGGATTCTCTACACTTCTTAGCGTATTGATTTACAGTAGTCAATGCTGAAGTGCCACTTTGCATTAATGTACTATACAAAATACAGAAGTAATGTTTATGGCCATGTTAGAAATCGTTGGAAATTCTGTCCTCATCCCAAGCCAAAATGCATTTCACAACATTTTTATGAAGCTCACATCAGCAACACAATCTGCAAGTTTTTTTTTAAAAAAAAAATCACATTCTAATGCAATAGAACCCAAAACGTACTGAGAAATAATGGAAGGAAAATATTAAAATTTGTTGTCTACCATAATTAAAGCATGTTTTTATAAGAGTATAAAACTTTTTGTTGATGGTAACATTGAAAAAGAAAAACCCTGTGACTCACAACCTAACGTAGTCTCAATGTGAGCTGGTTTTCCAGACAGGCAGTACTCACTGATGTCACATAGGGCGCAGGCATGCACAGGGCAAAGCACACACGCTGTATGTTCAGGACCAAGGTTGTGTGATGTACCACAGACCAGTAGTGCAGAAACACCACGGATGAATTGTGCTTTTGATCTTGAACTGATCTGAGGTACTTGCACATTCAAAATTTGTCTCTCACTCTTACCAAACTTTTCAGGACCACACATACTATCACGACACACAGTTTAGGAAGCTGTTCTGTATACTTTGCCTTTACTGGTCCTTTCCTTTGGGAACACAACCTCATACATGTCAGCTCCCATCCCTACATCGTCAGTTTCTAAATTACCAGCCTAAGGAATGTGCTTTGTAAATCATATTTTTTGACACCTTTATACAGCTTGGATTGAGTAAGGGCTTACTGCTCCATTTAAACAGTAGCTCTAATAATCATTAAAATGCTCTAACTTTTCAATAATTTAAATAGTACAATACTATGAGTAGACAAACAACTAGGACAGACTAGAAAGTACAGAAAAAAAACTAAAATATACTGGCAAAGTAAGACAGATTTTTAGAAGTTATGTTAGGACAGCAGAATGGGAGGAAAAAATAAAGTTGGATCCCTGTGTTCTATACAAAACCCAAAGCTACTAAAGTCCAGAAGGAAATGTAAACACAAAGTGGCATCAGATGTTATTGAGGAATTCTTAGCCTAATAATATCATGCGGACTATGTTATTCAAGCAGTCTTTATATGTTATTAACATATACTGATGTACTTATGAAGAAAATAATAATGATGTATGTAATTTATGTATTAATATCCTCAATATGAGTTAGATAAGATTGGGCAATAATTCAAATTATTAAAACTGGATGGTGGGTATCTAGGATTTGTTATACTTACTCTAATTCATGAATGCTTAAAATTTTTTTATGATAATTTTTAAGCAGCAGAAGAAAATAAGAAAGATGTGCTTGGAATGGGAAAAGACCCTTCCACCCATGGTATAAAACACAGAAAATGGAAAATTAAAGTTTTAGTAATTCAACCACGTTAAAAAAAAAAAAGTTCCAGTTGAATGGAGGTGATACATGCCTTGAATCCCAGCACTCAGGAGGCAGAGGCAAGTGGATCTCTGAATTCCAGGTCAGTCTTGTCTAGAGAGCAAGTTCCAGGACAGCTAATGCTACACAGAGAAACCCTGTCTCAAAAAATTAAAAAGAAAAGTCCTATATGGAAAAGGTATATACCATAAGCAAAGTCAAGAAACAAGTAGCAATCTGGGGAAAATATTTTCAACTTAAATCACAGACAAAACAAACAAAAACTCAGATAATTTTGCTGGTATGGAAATACCTACTAGAAATCCATAAGAAAACCTATGAACAATGAATACAAAAACTGTCAAAAGACATAAATATTTTATACACCATAAATAAAACAGTCCTTAAACATCATAAGAAAAGTTGACTGTGTTTCCAAATAGGAGAAATTCAAATTTAAAAGATATTTGGAGTTTTCTAGATTTTTGGTCAATCTGACAGGTTTCCATGCTTGCTAATTCTCTCTTCCGAGGAACCCACAAAAGTTAGGCCTTAACATATGCTGCTAATGGGATAGTAGCTGTTAAAGACCGATTCCCAACAGTATTCAAATCTCAGATGCATTGAGCCTTGATCCCAAATTCTAGTTCTGGAAATATCTTCCTCTGTCCATGTACAGTGATATCCCCCCATGATGCTCATTTCCTCACTGTCTGTGACAACAAATGATTAGAAATAACCCCATGTCCATTAAAATAAATGTGTTCACACACACAAACACACACACACACATGTACATCATGTCATCTCTTGGATTTTAGAATCAATGGGATAAAAAAAATATCACGTGTACCTACTTATATATCCATAAATACAGGCAATAAGAATATGTGGAAAATTAACAGAAGTAAAGGCCTGTATCTAGAGTAGCTGGGAAAAAGAAATAAACAATGAGAGGGCAGAAGTAACAAGAGCTGTCTCAAAGGGTACCTTCCCTTATTGGCTTGATTTTTTTCCATCCATGAATACATATGGCTTATTCAAAATACAGATAGAATGAATAATAACGTGACTGGCCTGACAGCTCCTTGTTACCAACCTATTATACAATTAAAACCTGACAGTTCTTCCTAGTGACTTGATGGATGACGGGGTGGGAGGGCAGGATCTGAGCTCCATTCCAGTATCCATATCAAACTGCCAGGCCTAGTGGCGTAGGCTTACAATTTCAGTGCAGAGGAGGCAGAGGCAAGAGGATTCCTGTAGCTCACTAGCCAGGCAGCCTAGCCTCCTCACTGAGATTCAGACCAATGAGGTGAATGGCCTTCCTTGTCTTCTGGTCTCCATATAGCCTTGCATCTGTATACATACATGCATTTGAAAAAAAAAAAAATCCGAACAGTGGATGATGTAAAATAGCACTTTTGTTTAGTTTTTAGAGTACATCACTTGGTGGTGGGGGCAGGGAAAACCAGCAATTTAGCATCCTCATTACATTCTGCAAGTCAGATGGAAGCATTCCCTGACAGCTCAGTGAGAGCCATTCACAGCTGTGTGAAATAAG